GACAGCTTACTGGGTTTGTACTCTGACAATGGCAGACCTGCAAATGACAGTGGTGTGTTACATGTATAATCTAAGGGCCAGTCCATTAACAAGGACTTGTTGAAAGCAGTGATGAACCAATAGGAGTCACACGAGCAGACAAACGGATTGCCTCCAACTTTGAGTTTCTGAAGCCTGGGAAGCCCTGCCAAGACCTCTCTCGATATAGATGTGATAGCATTCTGGTCTATGTGAAGACTTAGCAGAGCTGGGACACTAAGATCTACCGGGATAACCTGGATGCTGTTGGAGCTAAGTGTAAGATGTGTCAGCTTGGAAAAGCGAGTCAGATCCTTTTGCATTATAGACGTTATTCCTGTCTTTGACAAGTCAATCTTCTCAAAGTCTGATGACAGATATGCAAAGACACTGTTGCCCAGGTTGTTGTTTCCAAGGCTAAGCTCAGTCAGCTGAGCAGGCCAATAGCAGTCCCCATCCAAGTGGATGGAGTTGAAGCTGAGATCCAGAGACTCTAGTGAGTTCATCTGATGTGTCTTCTGAGAGATAAAGGAAAGACTGCTGAAGCGGTTCCTGCTTAAAGACAGCTTCCGCAGTTTGGGAAAAACAGAGCTGTTTGAACACGGAGTCCACCAGAAGCCCGACTCTGTCAGCAGGTTATCTGATAGATCAAGAATCTCCAGTGATGGCAGGGCAGTCATGACTCCGCAGGGTAAAATATTCATTCCAGTCCCAGAGAACTTTAAATAGGTCAGTCTGGAGAAGGCCTCAAAGCTCATGTTTATCGTGGGATATCTGTATTGATAATGATTCACACCATTAAAGATAACTGAGGAAAGACTGATTGTGTGATTAATGGGTGGTAAATTAAAGCCATCTGGTGTATCCTCATTGTAAGTGATGTTGACAAATGAGAGCTCGTGGAGAGGGGAAAGCCACACGTTCTTTATGAACACCACCATAAACGTGCTGTTTATCCAGGTGTTTTCTAAGGTGAGATTCTGTATAAAAGGCATTGTTCTCAGGTTCTTAAAGGGGTTGTCGCTCACATTGCAGCTGTCTGGAAATAGAGAGATGAATCGCAACATTTTTACTTGTGTCACATTCAAGTCCACAAGGAGGTTCTCAAACATCCCAAAGGTTCCACAAAAAGATGCAAATAGGGACAGTTTTTTGAGAGACTTGATTTTTGCAAGAGAACCAGATTCATACTTTTGCCAGTGAGTTCCTGCTCCCAAAGCCAGATGCTGAACAGAAGCATTCATCAGGGCATCAAAGTCACCGTAGCTCACTGACAGAGCAGCTGTACTACCCAGAGACAGGAAGTCTAGCTTTGTGAAGTTCTGAAAGGATGCCGGTAATTCATAGCTGGTATACAGGTTGTTGGCCAGATCAAGAATTTTCAGCTGTTTCAAGGAAATGTCAGGGATGAACGCTAAGTCATTGTTAGATATGTTGAGAATTTTGAGTGCTGGTGTGTGGGTGAACACTGTGGCTGAAATCTCCCGAAGTCCACAGTGAGCTGCTTTCAAAAAACAAAGCTGGGATAGTCCAGAAAACTCAGTTCCTTCCAGCGTTTGGATGACGTTGTAGGAGATGTCCAAATACTGTGTTTCGTTGGAAAGACTTGATGGAACACTGGTGATGTTTTGATGTGAGAGGTCTTTGACACCTCGCATTGATGTGACGCATAGTTTGAATCCTTCGTTATTTTCCTTAATAGCTGTGCAGTCCGGTCTCATTAGGGACACGATGACTACGGTCCCAATCAAAACAGCCACAGACGTGCTGAAAACACCAACATAAGAGAAGTCATTCAAAGACACGACCATTTACTGTGCAGGAATATCTTAGCACAACTATGTTTCCAAAAAATAGCACCGCCTGAAATGTAAATAAAAGTAGAATGCACACCATTTAAAGTTCACAGTAAAGTATACGGACATAATAAAATATTTTGAATATGATTCCAGCATCAAACAGAGAATTTGACTGATCTGAAAATCATTGCATTCAGTTTCAAAGCTGTACAATAAAATAGAAAAATAGATGTACCAGAGATGAACATGTACGTTACCTTTGTGGAGACATAGCTTCAGCTTCGACTATGACAAGTTCAGGTCTGAGCTGTGAGTACTTTTATCCTGCTCTTAAAAGAAACTGTTCCTCTTTTTCCTCTTTTAAATTCCTCTTTCTCTCTGGTTCCTTTCCGTGACTTTCCACTGAGAAAGCAAATGTTATGTCTAAAGCTTACGCAACTGACAGGAGAAAAAAGTATTTCCTCAGAGGGTCTTTCCAATACTATGCAAAAGTCTCAAGTATAATTTCATTTCCTCATATTTTGCTAGGAAAATGAAAAATGGGTGCAACAGTTTATTACAACATGTCCAACCATATATGGAAGCACAGTTTAAAAGGCAAAAACGGACTTTTTACAATTCTTATGAACATGACATTATTTGATATATTTAAAGTCATATTTGATATGACTCCCTTTATTCTTCAATACAGCCTGAAATATTTTTGTAATTTCTTTGAGAACAGTTCTCCAGCCTTCTGAAAGGACACGTCTAAGCTCTTCTTTAGATGCTGGATGCATTTTGTTCCACGTCCTACACCGCTTAAATACTTTTGAGCTCTGGACTCTGGGAAGAGTCCTTGATTAGTTCCACTGTGTGGTTTCCTATACAGCTTTGATTCCCATCATTGTTGAAAGAAGAAGCTGTTGCCAACCAATGGTTTATAGACAGTATTGTGTAGTCGGTCAAAATCTGACTTCTCTGCATCTACAATTCCTCACATTTTGACAAAATACCCAACACTGCTGGCTGAAAAGCACTGTGCTGTACAAACAGCCATAGACAGCTATAGACTACCTCCGTACATACATTACAGTCTAAGGAGCTTGGAGAGAAAGTGACTGGACTTCTTTAAGATGTTTTAACTCTTCACTTCTTCCGTTTATTTTTCTATTTCTTGTGGATACAGTTTTTAAATGCTGCAGATATTTTTTAAAGCCCTCCACTTCTTCTTTAGACGTTTACTTGTCCTGTTTCCCCAGTTTATTAACAGCACACTGCACACCACGCCGAGATCTACCAAGTTTTTGGCCAACAGCACTTTGAGAATCACCTTGTTGGTGCAAAAATGCTATTTTATACTCGTCAGTCTTCAGCAACAGACTGCTTTCCTTTATGATAAAGCAGATAGTTGCAGTGGGTCAGGTGACCCTGGATCCTCCCTCAGCTACGCGACGATAGACCGAGGTACTTGGGGCCGTTTGATGCTCTGAGTGTTTCTTTTTCACTCACCATATGTTTAAACCACTCTGCAATGAATCATTACCTGTAATTTTCTGGCCTTCTTCTACGAGTATGCAGAGTGAAACAGGAGGTTGATCAGCAGTGATACTGGCACTGTACCAGTCAGCTGTGGTGACTTCTTAGCCTATCCTTTGCTCATGAGCTCAGCTGGGCTCCCGCCCTTGGCCCACGCACCTGCCGTGAATCTACCTGTTTACCTGGACTTCTGGGCTATTTAAGCTGAGGGCTCAGCTTAAATAGCAGCTGACGAGTTACTCGAGTTACTCTGTCAGTACAGCTCCAACCCTGTTTCTCGTGTGATTTCTCTGTTTATGCTAAACGCAGTTCTCCTGTGCATAGATTCTCGGACTCGTCCATAATCCTGATCTGTTTCCCTGCGTGGCATGGAGTGGAGTGGAGTGAGAGTGAGTGTGCTGGAAACAAATACAAAAGGAGCGAACGAGCGCAGCATGTTTTGGACTTTCTCCCCTTTTCCCTTGGACCATTGAATATCACTGCCCTGTACACTTTATATACTTTCACGTGGTGTTTTGTAAAAAAACTTGTGATTGCTATTCTAGTTCAGCTGGTCTGCGCCTGAGTCTGTTTTCGCCTGCGTGACACAAACAGGTTAGCCACTCAAAGCTTCACCGTATAATCACATATACTTACATTGTCCACTGTGGACATATGATTAAGTGTTTAACATGAGATCTTTGTGAATTAAGATGTGCTGCTCTCATGGAGACACAACACAGGAAGTCTGCTCAGGTGTGTCAAACACAGCAGTATCAACAACATCAGGGACAGTGTTACGGCTCACACTGCAGGGACGCTGTGTTTTCACCTCTCTCTCTGTTCACACACACACACAGATAAAGGCTACGTCCACACTAATGCGTTTTCGTTTAAAAACACTTCGTTTTCACTCCGTTTTGGCCTCCTGTCCACACTGAGACGTTTTGCAACTTTGTACTTTTGTTTTACTCGCAGCAACGGCTCCACCTCATTGTTAGTCCATTTAAAAACTCGGTGCTTTTCCTCGACATTTTGATGGAAAGTAAATAAACAGCAGACAGAAATGAGGCAGGCTGAATCTTCTTGCGTTTCACGCATGCGCAGGACTGGAACGTCAGCGTTTTCGGCTGTTTCATTTTTTTCTTTTTTTTCCGCCTGTCCCGTTTGGATCTTTTGTCATCAGAATTATTGTCTAAAGTCAAAGAAAGATGCCCAACAGATTTATTTTACCAAGTGGACCATCCCGGCCTGGCCGTCCATTTGATTGGCCTTTGTTTTTATTGTTTATTTTATTTTATTTTATTTTCAGTTGTTACATACGGGACAGATATGACTGGGAAAAGGGAGAAAGAAAGAGAGGGAGGGAAAGAAAAACAGCGGGGAAGAGGAACGGTGAGAAAGGGCACAAAACAAAAAATGGTAAATGGCCTGTATTTATACAGCGCTTTACTAGTCCCTAAGGACCCCAAAGCGCTTTTAAACTACATCCAGTCATCCACACATTCACACACTGGTGATGGCAGCTACATTGTAGCCACAGCCACCCTGGGGCGCACTGACAGAGGCGAGGCTGCCGGACACTGGCGCCACCGGGCCCTCTGACCACCACCAGTAGGCAACGGGTGAAGTGTCTTGCTTAAGGACACAACGACTGAGACTGTCGGAGCCGGGGCTCGAACCGGCAACCTTCCGATTACAAGACGAACTGCCAACTCTTGAGCCACGATCGCCCCAAAGACATTCCTTTGTCGCTGACTCCCTCCCCAGCTTGTTGGTGGGGGAGGTTATAGTGTTTTATCACAGGGACATCTGTGTGAGGGTTCTGTTTTCTTGGTTAGTAACCTTCCTGCTTTTATGACTCTTTTGTGGGCAGGAAGTCAAACACAAACACACACACACTCTCGCACATACACACACACACATACACACATAGTGCCTTATCTTTTGTGACCATAGGGGGGGTTTACAATGGGAGGTGCTTGTGTGTACTGTAACTGTTTTCAATGAAAGGCGGCAAGCGGAGGCCTGAGTCGAGGTCGTCTGTGGTTGGATTCAGAGTGCTTTCCTGAGACACCGAGCGGGCTTCACTTGCTAGCAAGTAAAAACCAGTTAAAGATGTTCGTCTTGTTTCTTTGCTTGTTGTTAACGGGAATAAGTCTCTAAACCAGCGGAGCCTGTGGAAGCGCAGACCCAACACTGGGATTTATAATTAAATGAAAGGTTTTTAAGCATATTTGAGACCAGAAGTTTAGGTCTAAGTTAACTGATAAATCCGCTTCACATTTTGCAATAGGAAGTGATATTGATTCATCTGTTTTAGAAAGCATTCTGTATATTTTGGAAAGTAATCTGGGGGTTTTAAGAGTAATTGAACCACACTTGGTGGTGTTTGTAGTTCAACTTGACCCGGTTTAAATTTCTTTTTTTACTATGGATTTAATTTGTTGATATTCTAAAAATCTTTTCTCATTGATCCCATATTGTGTAACTAGTCTGTCAAAATGAAATCAATTCTGTTCCTTCTAGTATATGTTTTAAATATTTGATTCCTTTACCACCAGTGTTGGGTAAGTTACTTTAAATTAGTAACTTAGTTACATTACTAGTTACTTCTAGCCATCCTGAGATAAACTGAAGCCTGTTGGCTAAGAAGTAGTGCTGAAAGTTAGGCAGTTCTAGTCCTCCTTTATCCTTGGTCTTTTGTAGTGTTTTTAAGCTTATACGTGGGGGTTTATTTTTT